ACTCCATCTCAAGTCTATCTCAAATCCATCTCAAACTTAGTCCTGACACTTTCATTTGTTATGTATTGGTTCTTTTATATCTCATTTTTAGAGGCTCACTTATTGGTTGCTTTGTGTTTTTTCTTCAAACACTTCTTTAGGAGTTCCACTCCCGCTCTTGACTTTTCAAGTTGGAACTTTTAATCCAAATGTATTATGCTCGTTTGCTTTTGCTTCAGCCACTACCAAGTGGCACCCTCTCAACTCCATTTTGGGGGTTAAGGATTTGTGTTTCATAGGGTTTATACATGTACTTGCTCTAACAACCCTTGACAATACTCTTTAGTTGACACAATGTTATAAAATATATTCTTTACCACTTATAATATATCATTTCTCCACTTCTTGTGGGGGATGGTTTTGCTCAAATGAAAGTTGATAATACTATTATTTATATTCAAGGAAAAAAATGTGAAGAAGGTTGTAATGTTTGTTATTATGCATATAACAATATAGTGGCAATTGTAGGCATTTCTTGGATTGACGTTCTCTACTTAGATGTGTCAATAATGTTTAGTTGGTGTTGTGGTGGTGGAAAGACTTAATATAAAAGTATTTTGTTGAAAGGATAAAAATAGTGGAAGATCTTTGCATTCAAGAGTACTATCAAAAGGTTCATGTGACACTAGTTAATATAATGTTTAATTTCCAAGGTCACTTTTATAACAAGAGTCCCTTATTATCTTAGTTCAAGTTTATATTTTATTGCTCAACTTATTATGATATATTGTCATCTACTTTTGTGCCATGTGATAAAGATAAATTTGAGTTTTAATTGTTGCAAATGATACGAGTCAAGCTTATGATCTCATCCTTAGTGTGTATTGTTATAAATAAAATCATGTTAAGTGTAACTTTGAAACATTTCCCCTTTTTTGTATTTATTTGTATCTTTTTAATTCCTCTCATTTATTTTTATTTTATTTTTATGCTTCCATCACTTTCATCTCACTATTATTTCCTGCTATTTTTCATGTCTTCCTATTTCATTTCCTAATCTCTCTAATGGTCTTAGTGATCCTACATTTTATATGTATTTTGGGGCCAAATTGCAACAAGGCATCCTATTTTAACTGGGATGCTCATCCAATCAAGATTTCCATTTAGTATTGGTCACTCAAAGAATTGAGATGTTGGAGAAGGGCATTATTTTGAAGTATCAAAGTTCATAAGCATGTAAATTTCATCTATTGACAAAACTTAATGCTGGTTTTACATTTTAAAATTTTAATGTTTAATACTAATGCTCTCTCACCATTTTCTCTCAATTCTTTTTCTTAAAGAGCTTATTTTTTCAGTGTTAATGGATTTTCTAGATGAAGATTTTATATTTTTGTGTTTGATATAAGTGTCTAAAAAGTGTAAAATTAGATTTTTCTGTTTTTATACAAGGTTTATGAGGCTCAAAAGGTTGAGCCATAGATTTAAAAAATTTATGATAGATTTAAGAATTTTGCATCACCTGTTAATGATTTATCATTCTGGCATTTATATTATCAATATTGCCTTTAGAATAACCTCTTCATTTTCTGGGGACTAAAATAGATAATAATTTGCAATTAGTAGTACCTTTGGTCTTTATTCTATGTTTTCTTCATACTTATCATACCTCTCCTATTTTAGATGAGCACCTAGGACATTGTTATGTGATTGAGAAGTATTAGCTATAGATTCAATAAAATATCATCTAACATGTGCATAATTATATCTAGTGTTAAGCTTATAATACTCTTGTTGTGCTACAAAAAAACCATTGTCATGAATTGTAATTTCCCATCTATTTAAGTTGATGGTGTTCAATTTGATGAGGCCTTTCCATGATCAACTATTAATAATGAGTTATATTATGATTGCTTTTAACTACATGACTTATTGGATGGTAGTTAGTGTTTTAGCATCTCCTCTAACATCACTGATAATCTTGCTCACTACCTAGCCAAGTTTTATGTCTGGTAAGAATTTGGTAGCATGGGTGGGAATATAATTGTGCATAAACCTCCTTAGTAGACCTTATTTTGGAGACATAGTACCACACCTCTATCCAATGCCTTGAAGAACCCTAAAGTTTTACCAATTTTATTAAAAATTCACATATTTTACAATTATACCCTTTAATTTTTTAATGATTTGACCAAACCACATTCACAAAAAGTGTATCCCTCTTTATCTAAGATTTCAAAACATGAAATGAATCATCTATAAATATAAGACCATTATCTAAGGGAATTTAATTGGGATAAGAATTCTAGAGGGATGGCTGTTTATTGTCTCTTTGATATATATATATATATATATATGGGAGGGGCAAATTATTAGTACTATATAAAATTTCTATATTTCCAACAAAATTAGATTTACCATTGCAATTGCTTCAAATTACTAATGTTAGGTCCTAAAATTAGTATTTAAATAATATTCTTCCATTAGTCCAAATAAAGTCTATAGAAAATACTAATGAATAATGTAATGTTAGTTTATTTTCCCAATCTTATGGTACATAGTTTGTATAGAGGTTTCTTGCTTAGTGAAAAAGGACTATATTGAGTGCTCTAAGTTTATAAAACTGGACACAACATTTGATCTTGTAGAAATTATGCATATGCAACAACTAAAACACTTTTTACAAAGGAATCAAGAATAAATTGCACTACCTGCAATACCTCCTTATGACATTCTTTTAAAAAACCCTAATTGAGAAAAGGTTTAGTATGATGCCATATATTATTATTGAACCACTCGTCCTTGTATATAAACTAGAGTTTGGGCTAATTCAAATATGCAATTGTAAGTTTTCACATTAGTGGAAATAAGGGATAACTCTAATTTATCTATAAGGATCACTCAAGATTTATGTTTTGCTTTTGCCTAAATCTTCTTTATCTTTTCAAAGGACTCTTTCCACTAAATTTATTTCACTCTTATAAATCTAGCTTCTTTTCATTCATAGTTGAAGAGTAAGCACCTTTGCAGTAGCCTCCTCTTTGTTGTGGAGCAATAACTCATACAATTGTTCAATGCTATATAGTGGGTACAACAATTATTAGATGGTGGAATTTGTTAAAATATAATAAGAAATTTCATAAATTATAAAATTATTTATGATTTATAAAGATAATTTAATCTAAATATAATATTATACTAGAATATCAATGCATTTTCTAGGTTTTCCTATAGATTTGGAAAAATACTTACAAATTTATTTCATATTTGAGAAAGTTTATACATATTTATAATTTATCAACACAGGATTAATCTAAATATATATCAAGTAAAACTTGCCACTCATAAGTCACAAGTTTGTGGAAAGTGTTTGATATTTTCAGGTTAAATTCTTCCTTGTAGAACGTGCTATTGCACAGGTTTCCCTTCTTTTTATTTGAATTTATATTTAGCTAAGATTTGATGCCAATTTTATTTATTTGATTTTATTATTCCAGCTTTGTTGATTCTTTTGATACATTCTTCATTTGATACCTGTTTTATCTACAATAGAATACTATATTCTTGCTTAGTTGCTCATTTTAACAAATAAATCTCAAGGAATATATCTATGTTCTTAAAAGTTGGTAAATATATTTATCTCTAAATAATAAAATAATAAAATAATAATAGAATTAATTTAGGTAAAATACAAAAATAAATATAGAGGATTCTTATATAAGCCTTCACATTAATTTAATTTTAAATTAATTATTTCATAATTATCTTGGAGCATTAGAATAAAATAATTTTATTATAAAAAATTAAATATTTTTCAAAAAGTTTAAAATATTGATATTGGTATTATAAACTAGATTAGCTCAATTTGCTATAATCTGGACCATCCAATATTTCTATAAGTATGGTTCTAGTATTTATTTAAAAAGGTATTATGGCTTTAGGCATTATACTAATGTTTTTATTTAGATCAATTAATGCTCCTGAGGTTGGCTTTAGACCAGAAGATACAGATTATATAAATTCAAATGCTACAAATAGGATTATATCAGCTCTACTTTTAATGGTAAGAGCTAAAATTCCTCCTCATGCAGAAGTTCCATTAGGTCAAGGTATCAAAGGTGAGGTAACTTTGCCAGATGAAATATATGGTAAAATAAGTGTAAATATACAAATATGGCTTTATAGCCATGAAAGAGAGAAAAGTTTCAGGCATTGTTCTGCTTATCCTACTGGAGAGAATGGTAATACTACTGCCATTATATTAGATTTACTTTACTTATTAATGTATTACCGTCCTATTCTTATATCTTTAGGTTCTAGATTAATTGCTTTAACATCAGGGATCTATGGTATTTACTATTGGGTTAGAAATGTAACTCCAGCAAGGCAACCTGGCTCTAGAACATCAAATCAATTTATTAATACATCAAATAAAATTTACAATTTTAATGATTGTCATATTTCCTTGAATACATTAATTAGCTCTACAATTCATAATATTTTATTAGAATTCCATTTTATAACATCTCCAAATCAAAAAGCATACTTATATTTGCATCCTAATTGCAAATTAGAATTATATATTGGAAATAAATCAAAATGGTTTAAATCAGGTAATTATATAAAATGTTATCTTGTATTACAGGATGATGGAAATATAGTTTTATATAGCATAAACAACAAAATTGTGTGGTCACCAAATGAATATTGCTATCCCCAACCAAATTGTGTGATGAACTCATATCTTTCATTACAAAACAATTGTAATTTAGTTTTATACCAAAATATACAAGATACGTTTTCTAAAGTACCAAGAGTTCAAATCCTTTGGTCAACTAATACTTTTTGTAATTAAGAAACATTAATATAGAATTATTATTTATCCCAATCTTCTACTTCATTCCAATGTCTGTGTCTGTGGTACACAAAGTAATGCTTGAAAGAGTAAATTTGGAAATTCCTGGAAATGCCAGCACCGAACACATCATCCCGCCCAGTGGAGATTGAAGCAAGGAATTGCTTCACAAGACATGCCAATTTTTTGTTTTTTTCTTTTGTAAGGTTCGATAGAACGAAAATGGATGCTTGAATTTCACTCTACAAGACTGTTTAGGCCAGCTCGAGCAAGCAGATCGATCATGCACATAAAAATGGTCTTGAACCGGCTGGATCCCGAAGTCTAGCTGCATGGACACGAAGAAGGAGCAGCCATCTTCGTATCGCCCTCCATGGCTGCAAGAGAAGATGACGCTCACGAACGTGATCTCGTCTGGATCAACACCTCGCAAGACCATCGCCACGAACAGCTCCAGCGCCTCCCAGAAGCAGCCGTTTTTGGAGTACGAAGCCATCATCGTGTTCCAAGCGACGAGGTGGTTTGGAGCCGGGATTTGCTCGAACACCTCTCGCGATTCCTCCAGGTTCCCACACTTCGCATAGAGATTCATGAGAGCGTTCCCGACAACGATGTCCCGATCCAATCCGGCCTCCACAACCGCGGCGTGGATCATCCGTCCCTCCACGATCGATGGAATGCTCGCACAGGCGTCTAGCACGCCCACGTAGCTGAAATTATCGGGATGGAAGCCCTCCACCACCATTCTCTTGAAGAATTTGAGCGATTCGACATGGCCACCCTCGCCAGAGCTCGAAGAAGCGTACATCGCGATCATGATGTTCCACGAGTTGAGATCCTGCGTGATCATGGCATCGAACATCTCCCTGGCTTTGGAGAGGCGCCTGTTCTGCGCGTAAGCCGTGACCATCGCATTCCACGACACAGTGTTCTTCACGGGCATGTCTTGGGACACGGCCTCGGCATCTGCAAGATGCCCGTTCTGGGCATACGCAGCAACCATCGCCGTCCACGTCACTACATTCTTCTCGGGCATCTCCTGAAAGACTTGAAACGCTTCTTGGGCACTTCCACACTTCCCATACATGTCTACGAGCGCGGTCCCCAGCACGACGTCGCACTTGTAGTCTTCCCCGGAAGCGACGATCGTGGAGTGGATGATCTTCGCTACTGCATTTCCCGCAGGCGCATCTAGAGCTTGGATCACACTCAGATATGATACCTTGTCCGGCCCAACTCCCTGGAAATCCATCTCTCGAAACAGCTCCAGCGCCTCTTGCATAAGCCCATTCTGGGCAAATGCTGCTACCATCGCGTTCTAGGCCACCACGTCTCGAACTGGCATATGGCGGAACAATGATCTTGCGTCGTCGAGGTTGCAGCTTTGCTCGCAAGCAACCAAAATTGCCGTCCAGGAAATGGCGTCCCAAAGAGGCATCTTGCTGAACAGCGTACGTGTCTACTGCAACTGCCCGTTCTGGGCAAATGCGGAGATCATCGTGTTGAGCGAGTAAATGTTGGGTGTCTCGATGCGCTCGAACGCGGCGATGGCGTCGCCGAGTCTCCCACACTTTCCGTACATCTGGATGAGGTTGTTTCCCAGATACGTATCGTGGTCGTAGCCGGCGAGCGCCATTCGTTCGTGGAGCCGGCGACCATCTCCCAGTGCCTTGGCGCTGGCGCACCGCCGGAGGAGAGATCCAAATCTTCCCACATCGATCGCGTTCTTTCCAGAGTCGCGGAGGAGGAGCCCATCGATCGCCTGCTTGAGCTGCTCGCGCAAACTCTTGCCGCTTAATCTGGGCGATGCTGCTGCTGCTGCTGCTGCTGGATGCTCGTCGTCGCAGCTTAAGTTCTTGCCCACCACTTTTCCTAAATACCAAGTTTAAACTCCATTGGTAATATTAGTCTTGCTTGAACTCTATTGTCCACCAAAGTGTTATGATTAATTGCATAATAAGTAGTAGTTCCATGGTAAAGGTAATATATAACTCTAGTACATTAGTGTTTGGTATTGAATAATATCATTTCTTCAAATGCCAACTTAAAAGATTTTATAACTTGCCTCCAACCTTCAAGGAGGTATTAAGATTTTAATATATAAATAATTTTGTTTTATAGATCACAATCACTTGGAGTTTTTAGAGCTTGAGGCTTTGGAAGTTTTTACAAGGAGCTAGACCATTCTTGAGCCCACAAGTTAAAAAGTTGAATTTATGAGTTAAGCTTGATACAAACATTATAAGCTTTAACATATTATGGCAAATATTTTCACAACTCTCTGAATATTATATAAATATAAAGGAATACATATATTGATGGAGCTATTTGTTTGTAAATTATAAAAGAAGTAAATTTAGGTGGACTTAAATAATTAAAAGAATTATATAAGCCACTCCATGAATGTAAGCCCTTCATATAATATTAATTTTAAATAACTATTCCAAAAATATTTTGGAGTATTAGAAAAAATGACATTGTGAGTAACAAACAATTAAATATTTGTTTTATGAAGACGTAAACATATTGAGAAACAGTGAGGTTGGCATTATAAATATCTCAATTTGTTATAATCTGGACCATCCAATATTTGTATAAGTATGTTAGTATTCCTTTAAAAAATGTATCATGTCTTTAGGCATTATATTAATGTTTTTATTTAGATTAATTAATGCTCCTGAGGTTGGCTTTCGACCAGAAGATACAGATTATATAAATTCAAATACTACAAATAGGATTATATCAGCTCTGCTTTTAATGGTAAGAGCTAAAATTCCTCCTCATGCAGCAGTACCACTAGGTCAAGGTATCAAAGCTGAGGTAATTCTACCAGATGAAATATATGGTAAAATAAGTGTGAATGTACAAATATGGCTTTATAGCCATGAAAGAGGGAAAAGTTTCAGGCATTGTTCTGCTTATCCTACTGGAGAGAATGGTAATACTACTGCCATTATATTAGATTTACTTTACTTATTAATGTATTACCGTCCTATTCTTATATCTTTAGGATCTAGATTAATTGCTTTAACATCAGGGATCTATGGTATTTACTATTGGGTTAGAAATGTACCTCCAGCAAGGCAACCTAGCTCTAGAACATCAAATCAATTTATTAATACATCAAATAAAATTAACAATTTTAATGATTGTCATATTTCCTTGAATACATTAATTAGCTCTACAATTCATAATATTTTATTAGAATTCCAATTTATAACATCTCCAAATCAAAAAGCATACTTATATTTGCATCCTAATTGCAAATTAGAATTATATATTGGAAATAAATCAAAGTGGTTTAAATCAGGAAATTATATAAAATGTTATCTTGTATTACAGGATGATGGAAATCTAGTTTTATATAGCATAAACAACAAAATTGTGTGGTCACCAAATGAATATTGTTATCCCCAACCAAATTGTGTGATGAACTCATATCTTTCATTACAAAACAATTGTAATTTAGTTTTGTACCAAAATATACAAGATACGTTTTCTAAAGTACCAAGAGTTCAAATCCTTTGGTCAACTGATACTTTTTGTAATTAAGAAACATTAATATAGATGTATTATTTATCCCAATCTTCTACTTCATTCCAATGTCTGTGTCTGTGGTACACAAAGTAATGCTTGAAAGAGTAAATTTGGAAATTCCTGGAAATGCCAGCACCGAACACATCATCCCGCCCAGTGGAGATTGAAGCAAGGAATTGCTTCACAAGACATGACAATTTTTTGTTTTTTTCTTTTGTAAGGTTCGATAGAACGAAAATGGATGCTTGAATTTCACTCTACAAGACTGTTTAGTTGTTCCGTGAAATCAATTTGATCAAGCTGCTCCTTGGCCCGGTGGCTATCTCCATGTGTCTTGTAAGCACCCAGCAGCGTTCTCATTGCGACATCATCAGCCTCTACTGGCATGCCTTGGATCAATTCCTCGGCGTCTCTCAGCTGGCCAGCTCGAGCAAGCAGATCGATCATGCACATAAAATGGTCTCGAACCGGCTGGATCCCGAAGTCTAGCTGCATGGACACGAAGAAGGAGCAGCCATCTTCGTATCGCCCCCCATGGCTGCAAGAGAAGATGACGCTCACGAACGTGATCTCGTCTGGATCAACACCTCGCAAGACCATCGCCACGAACAGCTCCAGCGCCTCCCAGAAGCAGCCGTTTTTGGAGTACGAAGCCATCATCGTGTTCCAAGCGACGAGGTGGTTTGGAGCCGGGATTTGCTCGAACACCTCTCGCGATTCCTCCAGGTTCCCACACTTCGCATAGAGATTCATGAGAGCGTTCCCGACAACGATGTCCCGATCCAATCCGGCCTCCACAACCGTGGCGTGGATAATCCGTCCTTCCACGATCGATGGAATGCTCGCACAGGCGTCTAGAACGCCCACGTAGCTGAACTTATCGGGATGGAAGCCCTCCACCACCATTCTCTTGAAGAGTTTGAGCGATTCGACATGGCCACCCTCGCCAGAGCTCGAAGAAGCGTACATCGCGATCATGATGTTCCACGAGTTGAGATCCCGAGTGTTCATGGCATCGAACATCTCCCTGGCTTTGGAGAGGCGCCTGTTCTGCGCGTAAGCCGTGATCATCGCATTCCACGACACAGTGTTCTTCACGGGCATGTCTTGGAACACGGCCTCGGCATCTGCAAGATGCCCGTTCTGGGCATACGCAGCAACCATCGCCGTCCACGTCACTACATTCTTCTCGAGCATCTCCTGGAAGACTTGAAACGCTTCTTGGGCACTTCCACACTTCCCATACATGTCTACCAGCGCGGTCCCCAGCACGACGTCGTACTTGTAGTCTTCCCCGGAAGCGACGATCGTGGAGTGGATGATCTTCGCTACTGCAATTCCCGCAGGCGCATCTAGAGCTTGGATCACACTCAGATATGACACCTTGTCCGGCCCAACTCCCTCGAAATCCATCGCTCGAAACAGCTCCAGCGCCTCTTGCATAAGCCCATTCTGGGCAAATGCCGCTACCATCGCGTTCCAGGCGACCACGTCTCGAACTGGCATTTGACGAAACAATGATCTTGCATCGTCAAGGTTGCAGGTTTGTGCGCAAGCAACCAATATCGCCGTCCAGGAAATGGCGTCCCAAAGCGGCATCTTACTAAACAGCGTGCGTGCCTGCTGCAAATACCCGTTTTGGGCAAATGCGGAGATCATCGTGTTGAGCGAGTAGATGTTGGGTGTCTCGATGCGCTCGAACGCGGCGATGGCGTCGCCCAGTCTCCCACACTTTCCGTACATCTGGACGAGGTTGTTTCCCAGATACGTATCGCGGTCGTAGCCGGTGAGCGCGATCCGTTCGTGGAGCCTGCGACCCTCTCCCAGTGCCTTGGCGCTGGCGCACCGCCGGAGGAGAGACCCAAATCTTCCCACATCAATCGCGTTCTTTCCAGAGTCGCGGAGGAGGAGCCCATCGATCGCCTGCTTGAGCTGCTCGCGCAAACTCTTGCCGCTTAATCTGGGCGATGCTGCTGCTGCTGCTGGTGGATGCTCGTCGTCGCAGCTTAAGTTCTTGCCCACCACTTGCCTTCTCACGAAATGGGCGTCAAGGATCGCTCTAGCTGGGGACAAGCACGAAAATCTTCTTCGCTGGGAAAGAGCTTGCATTCATCCTTCTTGAAGTTTGGTTGATCGCATATTCTAGAATCTTACCTCGAGCTTTTCTTCCTGGAAAAAAACCCACACATTAGACCTGAAGAAAGAAAGAACTCTTCTACCTCGATCGATCTTGTCGAACTTTCTCTAGTCTTCAATGTCTTCGAAAAAGGATCCCAGTGTCTTTCGAAGCATGGTGAAGGATTTGTCTTCCTGGCACACGACTCTCACTCAGCACGAGAACGAAAAAAAATAAACTTGCCCACCTGAGATTTCTTCTTGACTTGTTCCTCGGCTGCTGCGATTTTGTCCGAGCAGCTCTTTTGCAGGTCACTCACAAGCGTTTTCTCCTTTTTCCCTGTAGAGAAAAAACACTTTAAGCCATGTTATAATCTGTGTAAGCGATAGCGTAGGACTCGCGGAAGTGGTTCTTACTCTGCTGCTCAAGTCGCGTGAGCAAGGCCTCTTTACCCTCTTCGAACTTGGAGAAAGTATCTGCAGTAAGTAGCATTACTCGACAGAAAGGAAAAGAGAAACGATTAAATGGTACCTTCGTATGATCGAAGATGATCCTCTCTTTCTTTGCAGAACTTCTCGTAGATCGACTGGTACTTTGTGGCTTCGGCTTTTAACGATGCCTCGCACTGCGACAAAGAAACAAAACAATGGAGCAAATTATTTGAGGAAGAACTAGATTGTTTACTTCTTTCGCCAGCTTCGTAGCAGCCTTGAGGAGAGTTTGCCTGAATGGATGCACGCAATTCGAATGAGAACGCACAAAACATGGATGAATACCTCTCCTTGTCGGATTTGTGCTTCGCTTCGTCCGCTAGGGAAAGAATCTCCGACTTGACACTGATTCATTCCACGCAAGATCTAAGCCACACCATACCAAAACACGCATGCAAACCTGTTGAGAATCTCCTCGTTCTTCTTCTGGCCATCAGTCTTCGCCTTCTTGCGCACTTGCTGGAGGGCCGTGAGAATACCCTGGATGTCGCTGCACCAAAAACAATCGATCGATCGATCCAATCGACTATAATCCAGACAAGAATCCCTCACCTCGACAGATCTAGTCCAAGATCGGCATCCGCGCCAGGAATTTCCCCTGGCGCCATCGCAGCGCCATCGCTCCTCGCATGCCTCTTCGACACGGCAGCCATAGGAAGCGAAAATTCCCGCCCAGGGCTCTTGAGTTTAAAATCAAACGGAGGAAAATCTCCCGCCAAATACCGGCATATTCTGTTAAGAGATGCCGGCATATACCTTCTACACGACATCGTCGGCGAGCGAGAGGATCTTCACGAATTTCTTCGCGCGGAGCTCCGCCGCGACGGGGCCATAGACGCGCGTTCCAACGGGTTCGCCCTCCTTGTTGATGATCACCACCGCATTCTCGTCGAACCGGATGTGCGATCCATCGCGGCGGCCCTTTTGCATCCTCGCGCGCACGATCACGGCCCGGACGACGTCGCCCTTCTTCACCTTGGTGCTCTCCTTCTCGAATTTCTTGATCCTCTTCTTGCCGCTGGCGGCCTCCTTTACCGACGCCACGATCACGTCCCCGATGCTGCCTCCGATCTTGCGCGCCTTGGCCTGGATGCACCCGACGATCTTGGCGCCGGAGTTGTCCGCGACATTGAGCTTGGTCCTCATCTGGACGAAGCACCGGGTTTGCTGTGCCACACAAGAGATCGATCGATCGAGCAATGCGGGAGAAATTCGTGGGAGATCAAGAGTAGCACCTGGAATACGGCAGGCCGGGACATGATCTGGTAGCCAGGATCGACGCGTAGCCCGGCAGAGATCCACACTCGGCTCCATAGCGCCCCGGTGGGCGCAATTCCTCGCAGCGCCATCGCCCTAGCAATAAACCCTAAACCTCTGGCAGGAATATTCTCGTCCTGTGCGGGGAATATACCCTTTAGCTATGGCGAGCGCCTTGCAAACCAGCTGCCGTGTTCTCGGCAGAGCACACGCCCGTCGCGCGAATATTCCACGTTCTTGTAGAGCTATATTCTTCGCTACTAGGCTTGGGCCCTCCGTGAGCGCCTATACTCCATGCCAAGCGCTTCCAACGCGGTCTAGGGTTCCTCATTTGTGTTGCTCCGCCGGGACGAGGAGAATGGCGGCGCTGGCAATCGACAAGGAGCTAAATCCTCTCCTCAAGGGTGGATCGTTGCCTCTCTACGACAAGGTCGATGCAACGCATGTCGTCCCCGGGATCCGGCAGCTGCTGGAAGAACTGGTAATATTTCTCTGGATTCCACGATTGTCTTGACTTGATCGTGCAGGAAGCGGAGCTTGTCAAGCTGGAGCAAAATCTCAAGCGTGATTGGGAATCCCTTGTTCATCCCCTGGAGCGCATCACGGATCGATTGACTGTGACGTGGGGAATCGTTGAGCACCTGAAGGCTGTCAAGGATAGTTCCGAGCTACGCGCGGCTGTCGAAGAAGTACAGGTATCTCTTTCTTTGATCTTCTTTGCAAAAAAGCTATTCTTTCTGTCTTTCTGTAGCCCGAGAAAGTGGCCTTTTTGCTGAGACTCGGCCAGAGCAAACCTCTCTATAAAGCTTTCAAGGAGATTCAAGACGGACCAGGATTTAAGAATCTCACGGACGCTCAGAAGAGAATTGTGGAAGGTAAAATGCTAGCTTTTCTCCTGTTTCTCATCGATGCTTGCTTGTGAAACCTGCAGCTCGGTTGAAGGACGCCACGCTTAATGGTGTAGCGCTAGAAGGAGAGGAAAAGAAACGATTCAACGAGATTGAACAGGTATTTTGTTCTTCTCATAGTTCGGTTAGGCGTTTGCTGATGGTGTATGTGGTGGCAGGAATTGGAACTTCTTGGGACGAAGTTTAGCGAGCATGTTTTGGACTCGACCAAGAAGTATCAAAAGTTAGTCGTAGATAAAGCTGATATTGAAGGACTGCCACCCACTGCTCTTGGTTTGGCTGCACAGACGGCATGCTCAAAGGTAAAGTCGCGACTTAATCGCAACTCGGGACTTATTGTTCTCTTTTGTAAGGGTCACGAGGGTGCTAACGCAGAAAACGGACCATGGATGTTTACGCTAGACCTGCCTAGCTACATGCCCGTGATGAAATTTGCAAAGAATCGAGCTTTGCGGGAAGAGATGTATCGGGAATTTATCACTGTTGCCTCTGAAGGTGACCTGGACAATACTCCTGTGATCAACAAAATTCTGGAACTCCGCTTGGAGAAAGCGAAGCTACTTGGCTACAAGAATTTTGCCGAGGTACTTTTTAGCGTCGAGCTTACAATCTGAGCAAAAACGCGTCTTTACAGGTCAGTATGGCTATGAAAATGGCAACAACAGAAACTGCTAATGAGCTCTTAGAAAAACTTCGTCTCAGCTCATGGGATGGTGCTCTTAAAGGTGCTTCAACTATTATTGTTTCCTTGGTTCAAACAATTTTTGTTTCTTCTCCTTTTTTTCAGATTTTGAGGAACTAAAGTCTTTTAGTAAGTCCAAAAATGCACCAGAAGCTGATGATCTTTCTCACTGGGATCTAACTTATTGGAGCGAACGCTTGCGTGAAGACAGATACGATGTTAATGAGGTAAATTGTATTCTAGATTTTCTTATATATGATTCGGAGGTCTACATTGTGTAGGAAGAACTGCGGCCTTACTTTTCGTTGCCAAAAGTAATGGATGGGCTGTTCAACCTTGCCAAATATCTTTTTGGCGTTCAGATTGAACCTGCAGACGGCATGGCACCTGTACGTTTGTCAGCGTGTTTGTTGTTTCGCTTTAACTTGTTCTCTTTTTTCTTTTTGTGTTTTTTTTTTGTTTTTGCTAACAGGTCTGGAACAAGGACGTGAGCTTTTTTCAAGTGAAAGACTTGGCTGGTGAGCCTTTAGCTTTCTTTTACTTCGATCCTTATTCGAGGCCCTCGGAAAAGCGGGGTGGTGCTTGGATGGATATTGTGGTGGGACGGAGCCGTGTCCTTGCACCCCGAGGCAGCTCTGTGCGCTTACCTGTTGCTCACATGGTTTGCAACCAAACGCCTCCTGTTGGAAATGAGCCTAGTCTAATGACATTCCGGGAGGTACGATGTCTTTGTTTTTAAAACGTATTTCAACTTTTTTTGTAGGTGGAAACTGTGTTCCATGAATTCGGGCATGCGTTACAGCACATGCTCACTAAACAAGACGAAGGTTTAGTCGCAGGAATCCATGGTGTTGAATGGGATGCTGTGGAGCTTCCTTCTCAATTCATGGAGAATTGGTGTTACGATAGGTTTGTTGATATTTATTTAAAAGTTTGTTTCTAATCATGCAAACTACAGGAAAACTCTCATGAGCTTTGCCGTGCACTATAAAACGGGTGAGCCATTATCAGAGGATGTGTACGAGAAGCTCAAGGCCGCAAGGACGTTCCGGGCTGCATCTTTAATGATGCGTCAAGTAAGTATTTGCTTAAAAGCTCAGCTGACGACGCTGGTTTCGTTTTTGCTTGCAGCTCCACTTTGCGATGACTGATCTGGAGCTCCATGGAAGATTCAAAGTCGGTGGCTCGGAAACAGTGTATGATGTCAACAGGAGAGTGGCAGAGAAAACTCAAGTCTTGCCCCCCCTTCCGGAAGACAGGTTCCTTTGCAGCTTTCTCCATATCTTCTCATGTAAGTGCCTTTGTTGTCTTGCTCATCTTTCTGAATGCCTTCTTGCAGCGGCATCATATGCAGCTGGATACTACAGCTACAAAGTAAGTTCTTGTAGAGTATAAAGTTTTGACTCTCTTATCGTTTCTTACATTTGATTCATGCAGTGGGCAGAAGTTCTTTCTGCTGATGCTTTCGGGGCATTTGAAGAAGCTGGACTGGACAATGAAAACGTGAGTTTCTCAAATTTACTGAGGATTTACTAACGCCTTATGTGCATGCAGGCGATCAAGGAAACTGGAAGGCGATTCAGAGACACTGTTCTCGGGCTTGGAGGAGGCAAACCTCCTCTCGAGGTAAATTCACCCAACAAAAAGTTCTCCTTCCAACTTGTCCATCTATCCAGGTTTTCAAGAGCTTTCGCGGCAGAGAACCTTCCACTGAAGCGTTGTTGCGGCATAGTGGTCTATTGGCTGTGGCATCATAGGACTCAAAAAATTTCAATCACTCCAAAGGTTTGAGAATCAAAAGTTTTAATCTTCTAATGGTATGAGCAGTCAAGACCCAAGAGTAAGAGAGCTCTACAGGATTGAGCAAGGGGATATAGACTTGAGTGACCACTCCTATGGGCTTCTCATCAAGAACTTCACCTCTCCCCCCCACTCACTCTCCCTCGCCAAGCGCCTCCACGCCCAGATCTCCAGACGCGGCCGCGACCACAACACATTCCTCGGCAACTTGCTCGTGGACATGTATGCCAAGCTCGGCAGCCTCGAGGAGGCGAGCTCGGCGTTCCAGAGAATCCAGCAGAGGAATGTTTTCTCCTGGAACATCCTCCTCGCAGCACATAGCGCGAATGGGGATCTTGCAACGGCACAGAAGCTCTTCGACAAGATGCCCGTGAGAGATACCGTGTCCTGGAGCTCCATGGTGGGAGCGTTTGCACAGCACGAGCTTTGCGACGAGGCTGTTTCGTTGTTTCGAGAGATGCAGCTGGAAGGATCCAAGCCGGACAGGATAACTTTCATCAATGTGATCGATGCCTGTGCCGAGAAGCCGGCTCTCCAAGATGGAAAGTTCGTCTACAGCGTTTTGGCCGAAGATGGATTGGAATCCGACGTGAAAGTTGGCACCGCGCTGCTTAACATGTATGGGAAGTGTGGAAGTTTGCGGGACGCGGAAGCATTGTTTGAGAAAATGCCGGAGAGGAACGCTGTCTCTTGGAACGCACTTCTTTCAGCATATGCCCAGAACGGGCATATGGAAAGTGCGAGGGAAGTGTTTGGAAGTATGCCTGAGAGGAATGTGGTGTCGTGGACGGGGATGATGGCGGGGTATGTCCAGAACGAGCTTTGCAAGGATGCACTGGAGCTCTTTCTCTGGATGGAGAACGATGGCGTGAAGCCCAACGAGAACACTTTCATCGCTCTTCTCGATGCCTGCGCGAGCATGTCAGCTCTTTCGCAAGGGAGAGTTCTCCACGCTCGAGTCACTGCGGTGGGATTTGATTCCAAGCTCAAGGTTGGGACTTGTGTTCTTGAGATGTATGGCAAGTGTGGTAGATTGGAAGAGGCGAGAGTGGTGTTTGACAAGATGGTGAACAAAAGTGTGATCACCTGGAACGCGATGATCGGATCGTACTCCCGGTTTGGACACTGGAGAGAAGCTCTGCGGGTGTTCTTGGCTATGGCACAGGAAGGAGTGACGCCAACTTGGATAACTTACATCAGCGTTTTGGTCGCGTGTAGCCACTCGGGGCTCTTGAGCCAAGGGAAGGACTACTTCACTTCTATGAGGCGGGACTTTTGCATCGATCCAACAATCGAGCATTACCACTGCATGATCGATCTCGTTGGCCGGGCGGGAACTCTTGCCGATGCTGAAGAACTCATCCACAACATGCCGTTTCATTCGGACTCGGTGACTTGGGCGGAGCTCGTTGCTTCTTCTCGGATTCATGGAGACTTGCCAAAGTGTGAGCGTGCTGCCGAGAATACATTCGAGATCGATCCAAGGGACCCTGCTCACGTCATTCTGTCCAACATGTATGCTGCGGCTGGAAAGCCGGCCTTGGTGAGAAAGGTGCGAAGAGACATGAAGGAGAGAGGGGTGAAGAGTAGGCCTGGGTGTAGTTTTATAGAGATTGGCAACAAAGTTCACGAGTTTGTATCGGGTGACTCGATCCATCCCTTGAACGAGGAGATCCGGGCTAAAACTCGGGAGCTCCACGAGCGGATCAAACAGGAGCTTGGGTACGTGCCAGACACGAAGGAGGTGCTTTACGACGTAGATGAGGAGGTGAAAAAGAAGATGCTGAGTTTCCACAGCGAGAAAATGGCTATTGCTTTTGGTGTTCTTGTGACAAGAGCCGGCACACCGCTGAGGGTCGTGAAGAACCTTAGAGTGTGCATGGATTGTCACACTTTTACCAAGCTGGTCTCCAAGTGCCTTGGAAGAGAGATTATCATGAGGGATGTCAATCGGTTCCACTCGTTCAAAGGGGGTGTGTGCTCATGTGGAGACTACTGGTGATTTGTATGTCTATGAAAGGAAAGAAATACAACCTCTGTTTGCCAATCAGGAGGAATGCAAAAGTATACACGAGAATCACGTCGACGTGAGAGATGCACACATTCTTGTGTATAAATGAGCTTAGCCAGAGATTCTTCAAGTTCGAAATGATCCACCGCCAGAGCAAGCATTTCCAGCCTTACTGAACGCACTCATATTTATATTAGTTTAGTTTCCAAAATGGAGAAGCGTTTCCAAATAACTTCCTAATCTCTCAATGCTAAAGACTTCATCAAACTCTTTGAGGTTTCCTCTAGAAGTTATCTTGCACATTGCGGCCAACTTGCAGTGCACCTGAATCACCACCAAGCTCTTGAGCTTGCCCTCAAAAGTTGTTTTGCACATCTCCGCCAACTTGTGCCCAAGCTCTCCCCAAAAGTTGTTTTGCTCATCTCCACCAACTTGTGCCGCACCAGGCTCTTTGAGGTAGCCCCAGGAAGTTGTTTTGCACATCTCAGCCAGCTTGTGCTGCACCAATCTCTTGAGTTAGCCCCACCACTAACTCCAAGCTCTTGACTTTGCCCCTAGACATCTCTGCTAGATATAAATATAATAATTAAAACTCTGTTTTAAATACTGTCTAGCATTTTACATTCTTCGGTAATCCCAAGAACCTAAAAATATACTTCATATATATATGCAAAGAAATATATATAGTGGGACACTATGGAGGCATAGTAGCCTAGGCCATGAAGAAGTATCGAAGCAAGGTTTCACTTCATGGGTGTTTAATATGACAATGTTCTTGTGAGTAAGGATATGACTATACTGCCCCTGTAAGTATATGAACTGGGAAAAAAGAAAACATTTGTTGAGCTAGAATAGTCTCACTAGAATATAACTGTGTGAAATCAATATAAAGTAACTTGTGCAAGTGATAAGCATGCTTAACATCTTTTAGATTAATCAACTGATGGCACTCCATAGTGAAAATCATTTTCTTAAAGTACTATGCCACCTTACACTAAAAGTGTAAAATGTGCTATAGATTTACTATCATTGCCAATAGAGTACATAAATTTTATTTTGTTATGAATTGATGAACTACTCATACACACCCCCCTCCCCTCCCATGCATTTGTCAAATTCATCTCAACTTTATTGAGCTCCTCTGCCTAATCATCCTGTATGCAGTTCAATATTAAACAATTGCTTTAGAGTAGTATTCATATGTAGATTAATCCTCTTTTGTTAGTTGATATGAACATGCTTATAAAGTAATAGGTCTCTACATAAACAAAACAATATGTGTTTGTCCAATCAAATATATACTAGCATCAATGAGTCAATGTAAATAGATACTAAAAAGCTTTAGTTTCAATATGCCACCAAAGAAAAAACATGTCTAAAAGCTAAACATTTTATGTTGTAACAGATACTTATTATCAATACACTAAAGCTCCATATGTGATTCCATGTTAAAACACGTGGGGAATCACCTCTGCAAAACACACTTCATGCAAATATTGCCCAATGCAGCTTTAATGACATCCTAACCGACTCTAAAATCAACATATACTATATATAGATGCATATATCATTTGTGTGAACAAGGGTTTATTAAGGCTCTAAGTAGATGGATTTTAAAAAAAAAAATTTGCACCTTTTCAGCCCTCTTTAGAACATTTACTGAAAAATGTAAGAAACCCTATTACATATATCTACAAATGCATCATATATCTTATTTATATTCACTAAATAATAATTTAAAAATAAATCAAATTACCTACATGTTTATCAATGAATAAATTGAATAAATTTTTACCATCTCTATCATGTTTCTTTTGCATCTGCAAACTCATCAAGAGTGTGTCAAAATCCAAATCTTACTATTTGATTCTCATTCTCAAATTTAGCCATATAATGAACTTTATTTTAGATTTCTCAACTGCATTAGATTCATCTTGAGCTCTATTTGTTTGTAAGCCTTGCACTTCTGACTGCAAGTGCCAATCCTCATGCTCCTAGCATCTATCAAACCATGCTCCAGTTGGCTTAAACACACTTATTCCCACTCTTTTGCATTTGACTTGTGCCTATTTTAATCCCTCTTTCAATGCTTAAAATTAGCAACTCATTTGTTTGCATGTAAGTGTAATCTACTAAGTTACACAGTGCCTTCCTCTATTCAAGCTCTAATCTCTCCCATATATTTTCTTGCATGATGTGGGCTTTTGTAAATTGTAATAAGCCTCAATTTTCAAAGTCAGCCACTTAATTGATTCCAATAGCACTATCCACTAGATCTCCATCATCATAACTCCCCTTATGACTAAGCACACCACCTACTTTGGAAAATAAGTTCTTGCAACAATTAAAGCCTATGCTTATTAATGTAATTGATAAATGGATGATTATGAAAATACTAGAAGATTTGAATATCCAAGAAAATTTCATGGTTAATAAAATTCTTTGTCAACATGAAACTTTTGTGCTTCAAGATCTATAAGCACTATAATCTAAAGATACAAACACAAATATTAACAGCTGACGTGTGAAAAAAAAGTGATTTTTACCTTAGGAAGAATAAAAATTTTGCAATTGATCTCACCCTTGCATAAAGGTCAAGATGTGGCGACAAAAATATTCCAATATACTCTATAATAACCTTTAGATAGGTCTTTATTCCTAGAATCTTTTGAGATAGAACCCAAACAACATAACAATTGAACATAAGGCTATTTGTTATATAAATTTCTATTTTTTGTTTCCATTTGTCTTCTCTTTGATGTGGTTATATATAGGCACAATGTCCAGCTTTGAGCTAGAAATCTCAATTGCAAATTACTTTAGTATTTGTCTCTCTTTATGATCTATGTTCCCTTACTACAAACCATGTTCTTTGTGGTAGCAGCAGTACACTTTGTTGACATTATTCAAAGTTACAAAATAGTCTCCAAAATAAAGTTGTCAAGAAGCATTATGAAGTGGATTCATTAGTTTCTTCCCATTGTGCATATAATCTTAATCATGGAGCTTTGCAATTTCTCTATCTTGTCCAACAAATGTTGATAAAAGCCAACCCTCCCATGGAATTTCTTAGTGATTGCTTGAAATCAAGCAGTAATCCTCTAGCATGCATTTCCTTTGCCTTGTATCACCATCAAAAGCATGATTAATCAACTCACCAAGGACAAGCTTCAAGTACTCCTTCCACAAACTTACAATCTTTTCCCATTGCCTTCTCATATTATGATTGTTGAAACGATTACAAGTAAACTAAATTGCAAGTATTAATTTTGGAAGTTGTTCATGAAGAAGATTACACATGAAGACATGGCTATAGTGAAAAATCTAATTCTACTAGTATGCTTGCACAATGTTCTTATAGCTTTGGTCACCTTCACTTATAAAAACCACAAAGTCATCGATGCAAATATGATTTTCCCCTTGTTTTCCAAAAAACTTCAATCAAAATATCTCCTTTTGCTCTCCAATACATAATATATTCAATTAAAGTCTCATCTTCTGCAATAACTAAATTAGATAGGATACTCAAACACTTCCATTCTTCTAGCATAGATCAATGCCAATGACTAGGACACTTCATTCAAAATTCCTATTCTATATTTAAAGCATTTATAACCACTATGTTTGGTTGTTGTCAAGCTTGGCCCTTTCACGTTTATACTAATCAAGTTGTTTATTCTTGATCCTCCCTAGACTTTTGAAACAACTGCTTTATTGATTCAGAAAACATATACCCTTATTTCTTCCTCAGCAGATTCTAAATTATATTTTTCATAAGATCCCATATAGCTTCTAAACCTTCAAACTTACCTTGTCAATAAGCTTAAACAATCTTAGAGTAAAACTTTCACACGTCCTTGCAAACCATTGCTTCTCTTAAACTCTCCTTGAGAGACTTTACTTGAATTAATAAAGCTATAATATGTCACTAAGCCCACCATAATTATGTATGGAGATATTGTTTGCAAATTCAAAAACTTCTAAGTTGCAAAGTACAAATATACCTTCTCTCGTTTCTCTATTTTTGTCATGTAGTCAGAACAAATATTTATCCTATATCCTTTACTAATTACAGTTCTATATTCCCTCATAACTCACATTCTGAAATCTTTTTGTTGTGAAATACTAGCACCCTTTGTACATTAGAAGTTCTTAAATCCTTTAGTGCTTACAATAACTCACTCACAATCTTGATGTATAAATGTATCTTTCACTTTGACACTCCTATCTCTAAAGCTAAGGACTCTTATTAAGCACTTCTCTAAAACCCATTTCTGAGGCTCCAAAGAATCATCTAACATTGGCTTCATATCCACTATCTAACTACTATAATAGTAGTATGATTGCCAATATCCAAATCATTAAGGTTTCTATATTGAATTAATCCACACACTAAAGTTGAAGGAGATGAACTTAACTCTTACTGGCTCCAATAGCACTTAAGCTTGCATTGAGTTGGAAACAATAAAGAAATCAAATAATAAACTAGATCTGAAATGAAAATACTTTTGTGGAAAAATGTTAAGATATTTCTTTCACTTGTTTTCAAAATTTTCTTCTTCACTAGATGCCCTAGTTTTTTTTATCTTTTCATCAGTTATAGCTTATGTGGCCATTTTGCGCACAATTCTAAATCTACACAAAACATCTGTGTTTTCCAAAAGCCCTAAACTATATGCTATACTGACATGGCAAATAGCTGAGTTGGAATTTGGCACAATTGAACTTGGACATTACTTTTTTATTGTGATAGTCTTATTGTTATTTAATTTAAATTTATGAGATAGATAGTATTATTTGGAATAATTATTCTGAAAAAATTCATCTAATTAATTTTAAATTAAAATAAATAATTTATTTTTAACCCATAATGAAAAATAGAATTTTTCCAGCTTTAACCATTATGTTCTTAGACTGAGTTTTGCAAACACTGATGCTTTTGATTATCTTACAATATTTTATGAATCTGTTTTATTTTATTATTATAAATGAGTTTCTCAAAATATATTTTAGTATTAGAAAATATAAGTCCTCACTCCACACAAAAAAAATAGTTAATTTGTGTTTAACTAGTAACTTTGAAGTCATCATATCAGTCAAACTATTTGTAAACTACATACAACCTGCCATATACAATCTCAACATAAGACTTGCAAAATCTTATGCATAATGATAGATGCAAGATGTATGACTGATTCATCTCTAGATTTGAATACCATTTGAATGATAGTGGACATGCTTAATATATCTTTATCTGAATTATAATTATAACTTTTAGAATTTATGAGTCATTGACATCTACAGGTTAAGAGTATAAAATATAGATATTTCTAGCCTTATCTTAATCTATATTATTATGAATTTCAAGAAAATACAAAGCAAACTGGTTAGCAAACCATTTATGAATAATATTTAGACTCTTATAGGAAATACAAATGGTAATCGCAGTGCTGATTATGAACAAACTTGTTGCAATGCAAAAATTCACCGGTACATAGCATAAAAACATGTTGCACAATTGCAGGTAATATCTCTAGATTTGAATAACATTATCGGGAATGATAATGGTAGCATGCATGAATGTTCGCTGTTAATATCATTAGTGGCATGGTTTTGCAAGTCAGATTTGAACAGATAATAGTAATAAGTCGTAGCATGAAAAATGTCATATCTGTGGTGCGCATCCAGAGACTGTACCTCCATTCCACAAATCTAAAGTTTCGGTACAGGCACTATAGGCCACTATGCATGGGCAAGTATCATAAGGGGGGGGCGGAACTTTATCTCCTGCACCTTTGCAATGGAATTTCATGCTCATCCTCCACATCCAATCGGACAATTCAACGGGCAAGAAGCCGCCAAGAAGCTCACCCCACCCCCAAGCGATGGTATGCGCTAAAAAACGGTACTTTACTGTCATGGAAGCTACACACATTCTCCTCCATCTTATACTTTCCCTAGTAGCTTTGCTCTCTCACGGTCCTGTTACACCAACACAAGCATTTGGGGTCATGGGAACTTTAGCTCCAATGTGGGGGCAATTCGATCCAACACAGGACTCCTCGACTAAGGGTACGTATCACATGTGTGTTATCGAGGCTGGAAGCCTCCTCCCACACTGCCTTGGCAACATGAGCCGCAATTCTTCCGTGACATTGGTCGATCCGCCGAAAGATACCCCGTTTCTGGCACTATCGGCTGGAGCACAATTCACTTGCGGCTTGATATATGGATCCCAGGTACCACTATGCTGGGGGGACTTGGACAACAACAAGCTCGCGGTCCCAGAGAAGCTCCAGAAGGTGAGCTACTCGACCATCGCGTCTGGGGCTTACCACGTCTGCGCGCTACGCTCCGGGGCAGCTGCGGCCGTTGACTGCTGGGGCAGAAAGTCAAACGGTGAGAGCCAGCCCCCGGTGAATGGCGGTCCTTATGTGTCGCTGACCTCCGGCTGGGACTTCTCGTGTGCGTTGACCGCGCTGGGCCGGGCGGTCTGCTGGGGAGCGCTCACAAACCGGACCTTCACCCACAACCACGCCGAGCCAAACACCTCATTCGACGCAATCTTTGCCGGGCGGTCGTATGTTTGCGGGGTGGAGAGACAGACAGGGAATGCTACGTGCTGGGGGGACAACAGCTACAGCCAGTCGAATGTCCCGCCTTACACTAGATTCAAGACCATTGCGCCGTCCATGTTCCACACCTGCGGGCTCATCCGGGACACGGGCGTGGCGGATTGCTGGGGCGACGACTTTTACAGCCAGGTCAACGCCACCTCGCTAGGGGTGACCTTCTCCACGCTTGCCGCAGGGGACTTTTACACCTGCGGGGTCAACGCCGAGGATCTGGCCGTCAGGTGCTGGGGGAATGGAGTCCAGGGAACCAAGGATTTTGCCAGAGTCAAAGTGGCTCCTACTGTTTGCAGAACGGCCAGATGCAGCAAGCACCAGTATCAACTCCCCTCGAGCTTCTGCCCTGGGATGGGGAACTACAAGGCCTGCGTTGACTGCACTCCAGGATTGTGCGGCAAGCGAAAGAATGTTATCACTCTCGCGGTGCTTTGCGTGGTGCTGGTCTTGACGGTGGTGCTGGTGGCTGCTGGGTTTACCATCCTTGAGTTTCGAAGGAAAAAGTTGGCGAAGGCAGTGCTGGCTGATCAAGAGCTCGACTTGGAGCTCTTGGAGTACGAGAAACAGGCAAAGAGAGTGAAGGAGTATACGCAGCAAGAGCTCAGCCTGGCAACCGGTAACTTTAGCAGCGACATGGTGATTGGGAAGGGAGCCTTTGGAATGGTGTACAAGGCGAGGCTTCCCAGTGGAGAGATTCTGGCCATAAAGAAGGGCAAGCTTGGAAAGGCTGCCTCTTTCGGTGGAGAGCTCAAGCTCCTCAGCCGGCTTCACCACACAAACCTGGTCAATCTCATCGGCTACTGCAAACAGGAGAAGCTGCTCGTGTTTGAGTTCATGGGAAACGGGTCGCTGTACGACTGCCTCTTCGTGAAGAACATCAAGCTCGACTGGTCGACGAGGCTGAAGATCGTGATCCAAGCAGCTCACGGCCTCGAGTACCTCCACCTCTTTGCGGATCCCAGCATCATCCACAGAGATGTGAAGTCGTCCAACATCCTCCTGGACGAGGGATTCAATGCTCACGTCGCGGATTTTGGAGCCTCCACCTTGGGGCCAACGGAGAACTCCACTCACGTTACGAGCACCAGCCTTGTTGGAACTCCGGGATATGTTGATCCCGAGTACTTCCAGACAATGCAGATCAGCCCCAAGAGCGATGTCTACAGCTTTGGAGTTGTCATCCTGGAGCTCTTCACAGGGAGAAAGGCTGTGGACTTGGGACAAAGTATCGTCGGAGTTGTGGCATGGGTGGAAAAGGTGGCGAGCGAGTTCTCATCGCTGGTGCCGGCATTGGACATGGAGCCCCCAGTGGACGAGGAGAAGTCTCGCATTTTGGCCGAAGTTTTGGAGCTGGGAGTGTGCTGTGTGAGGCCAAAGGCAATCGATCGCCCTACAATGACGGTAGTCGCGAGTAGTCTTGAGAAGGTTTTGAAACACTTTGGAAATCCTAGCAGCGCGAGGGAGTGGATTTCTTCACCATGGACAGAGACCACCTCTGGGCCTTCTACGGCTGATGGACATTCAACGCTAGAGGCAAGCTTTTCAAGCTCATTCCTTGCAGAAATTCGTCTCGTGAGCCCCAAGTAAGTCAAAGCTAACTTTGAAGGACATGTAACATATAAAATTCAAATTTTTTATCAAGCATTGTTTAATTGCTTTTAGATGGGCACCACAAGATCTAAAACAGGTTATATATACATATGTTATTATTCTTGATAATGTTATTCAAATCTAGAGATGAATTGGTTTTACAATCTACAATTGTACCACATCTTGCATTTCTACCTTTAACAACTGTTATCGAAACTAGCACCTCACTTTTTGTGTTTCCTATGCAATTGTGTTAAATGGTTCACATACTACATCAAATAAAAACCTTTTGCTTTAGTCATAAGGTAAATATCAAGAAGTTAAAAAGTATCAATATTGATGTAATAGAAACCCTTTACTTTTGTTTATGAGCAACATAACTATCAAAAAGTCTATAAGTATTAATAAAATTAACCTAGATTTATTAAGAGTATATTCACCAATAATGACCACAGTGGAAATTGAACCTTAAATCTTTACTCATGGGATTTAAATTCAACATATATCATGCACATGGATGGGTATATAAAATTAACATATGAATCTAGGACAGATGTGAAAATTCTTCATCCAAATGAAACTTTTACTACTTCTTGGCAATCTAAAGGTAATTCCTCCACAACCAAGACTAATACCAACATCTTTTTCTATTTCTTGTTGGATGATCTTATGCAACAATTGCAAAGGTACTTATAGGGCTAGGACAATGGGGATCTGTTAGCAAGTGAATTACAAGAGGTCACTCATCCAAAAGGATCAAAATTTTAAGTGATTTCCTTAATATTTATATGATTTTGTGTAGGACCACAATTGGATATGTTAATTAGGAGCCTAGTTACTCAATGTGTTATAACAAGGCAACCAAGATTTGGAGATGAGAATGCCAAATGTTGGAAATTGTTCTTTAGTGTTTTTACTACTAAGTGATCTTGAGGCTAGTCTTGAACTCCTGATGGAAGAATTCTGGTGGGAGTGCAAATGTGATGGTGAATAGTTCAACAAGAATGATTGCCACTCCTTGGAAAATGAAGGTGGTGATATTTAAAGCTTAATGTGAAGTGGATGCATAACAAAAAAATTGTAATTGCAATTTAACAAACTCTTATTTTGAAAACAAAATCAATAAAAATGAATTAATTTTTTTTATTGAATTCAGGAAAAAAAACCATATAAAAACCATGAATTTTTAATTGGTATATAGGTGGATACTAATAAGATCTCACATAGAATTAGGATCCTCAACTTACACTCACTCAAATGCACTTTTATGCTTTGCACTTAACTAAAATAATCATTTCCTTGCCATTGTGAGTGTCAAGGATGATCATAAGGATTTGCTTGAAAAAAAGCAAATATCTTAGTTTTTTTGTTGTTTTAAGCTTGAGACCTTTAAATAACAAAAATACAAAAGATTGCATAGAAACCCCTACATATGTATACTTTCTATATTAGGAGAAAGAAGACTTTAATCTCGAGGTTGCACCCAAGCAAGTACAAACTGTGCATGCAAATTTTCAGCACTTGATCTTATGAAGCATGATTCTTTCTTTTAGGAACAAAAATATAAAGCTACAAAAACATCAATGTGTAAAGGTATATAAAAAATGACATAAATATATCAGCTTTCCCACTATCCTCACCTAGCATAACAACACATGAGATAAATAACTTTATGTGCCTTTCAAAATTAAAAGCATGCTAGCAAACAATTCACTTAGAAATGTGTTTGTGTTAGTGAAACAATGTTGTAATGCTCCTCACTCCTCACAATATAATCATTGCAATAATCATGAAGCTCAAGCCAAGAAGCAAAAACCCATGAAAAAAAGTTTATATTGTCACTTTGTAACATGCATGAGTGTAACAAACTGTTACAATGCCAAAAACTTGTGTGCATAATTAAAAATGCAAAAAGTTGATAGAATTAACCACACAATTCATTTACGCTCAAAAAAGCTATCACTCAATGCCCCAAGCACTAAAAAAAAGGCTTTGTGCTTGCCTTCACACTTCAATCAATCACTACCTAATTTAGGATGTTATACTACAAATAAATTATATAAAAAAAGGCACACTACAACTACATTAGGGTGTGTTGTGATTTAAATGTGTTTTATTTCTCATGGCTTGATTGTAAAACTATAAAAATGAAAGGTGAATGTAACATGCCAAAAGTATGAAAGAAATGGTTACAATCAGAAAATCATAAATTTGCATTCAATGATATAAAAATGAGACAAAAAAATCCTTCCTAAATTTGTAATGATATCATGTTATCTGAGATGATGTGGCATTATTTTTATATGGTAGTTTGAGGTGTTATGCCCCAATCTCACGACAAAACAATCAAAATGTGATTGTGTGTATAATACTTTTGCATAGAACTCAAAATAAAATATAATATATATATATATATCCACACATGTGTAAATATATAATGTTCCAGTCTGCAATTATATATTCATTGCCATAGGTAATAAAAAATGCAAAAAATTATCACATATGTAAATATAAAATAAAACCATATACAATCACATTTTGTTTGCCAAAGGTGTGAACCACTTCTTATAAATTACATATGCATTTTCTATGTAGTGTATGCTAATAGTTGATAAGAATCCACCCTACCATTGCCACTGCTATAATCATTATTGCTGTTACTTGGTGTGCAAGTAACGCAAACATTGGTGAAAATCCAATGCCCTGCAAAGGAAAGACTCTACCACCATAATCTTCTTATCCCATATAATAGTTTTTTATGTTGTGAATATTCTTTGTAGCTTAAATGTGTTTCTAAACGTCATATACCACAAACAATGTGACAATCACATTAAACATGATTGTCACCAATTTAATATTAAAATATAAAATATAGCCACATTTGCCTGCCATAGATTGCACAGTGTCTTTAATTTGTCTTATTAGTGTTTTGTGAAAGGAAAACGCAGAAAATGATTAAGTATCCATTTATTCTCTTGAGTTCTTGTTTCTATTTGTTTCAAGTATTTTTGAACTTGTATAATTGTTGACATTTACCTTTGATGGTTGTGATGAAAGCAAAAGGGTTTCTAGTTGATGCAATATGTCAACCGTTTAAATATAAATTTCCAGGGCTCTCTAGGAATTTGCATCCAAGTGATTGCTCAAGCTGTTGGAGCTCAAGAAGAGCTTGGGATCGAGATGAGGGCGTGCCGATTGCATTGCCAAGC